GACTTTTATTATATATGTTTATATTGAACCTGCTTGTTTATTAGTAATATTGTTAGAATCTTTAGAGGGAAAAAAGAAGAGAAAAGAAGAAAAAAGACATCTTTCCCTTGTGTATTTCTGAAAATTTATAATTGATGAATCTGGTGTTTTGTTTTCTCTAATGCAGGTGAAATCATGAATTAAAGAATTTGAAGCATAGAGCTGAGGAGTATTCTAGAATAAGTGTCTTGGAGTTATAGGGATCCTTTTGGTTGTTTAATATTTAATGCTGCTGTTAATAAGAGGCTGTATTTTTAGAACTTGAGATTATGCAGTGAACCACTTGGGTTTTAATTTGATTTCTGATGTAATAGAGTACTAGTTTAATTTAATAACTAAGTATGTATTAATTACCTGGATATCCCTTTTGGTAATTGTAATTTTTTTTTTCTTCTCATCATCATTACTTTTCCTCCTACTTTCTAAGTGATTATGCTAGTTGATGACATGCAGCAATCAAATTTGACTCTTTTACACAATCTAGAGATATTTGTCTCTATTCTTGACTTTATTTACACTAGAAAAAATCCATAATTCTTTTTTGGCATCACTGAAGAGATCTTGTAAATGCTGCAATATCTTCATTCTTGCAATTACCTCTTGTCAGGAAAACATATGTGACAAAGGGAATTTATTGCTCATAATGAGTCCCTAATCCATTATGCCTAAGTTTATTATTATTATTATTATTTTTATACAAGCTATGAGAGAATCGAAACTAGAACCTCTCCTGAGATAAATGTCTAAACTTATTTGGTATATAAAATTGACACCAGTCTCCACCAACATTTGCGGGCTTGACTAAAATGGTTCTGCATCCAAATTGGATTTCAACTGAAAATTCAGCCTTCTTATTAATTGAATATGTAACTATCCAAGGGGTTATTTGTGAGTGGCGTTCCTCTTGCAAAATTCATCAGAGTCAAATGGATCAACCATCGGGGTTATATATTGGCACCTCGACAAGGTTTGCTGCCCACATTGGTCAACTAAACCTAAAGTCTTAATTGAACGTATGTAAGGCCATCCACAATAGTTGGGGCTCTAAAGAGTGTTGATCGAGCCCCATTTAGAGCTCCGATAAAATCTTTGGGGCTCTAAAGGCATCTCTCCCACCATAGGAGGCCCTATATTCATGATAGGCTCTATATTTTTTATAAGATGTAATTTGACTTATGTGGTTGTTTTTTTGGTTAACTATTTTACTTTAATGTTTGCTCATGTTATGTTAGTTTATTTTTTTGTGAACATTTCAATAAAAAAAAAAAATCAAAATTTGGACAAGATTTGGAAATCAACATTTATTTCATAGATACGATACAACATGGTTAAATTAAAACAAGATGCACAACATTAATTTGGTGGTCCTCCCAAAGTTGGATATGGGTCCCTTGCATTATGGCTTTCCACCCCTCTTTTATTTACATTGTCAGATAATAATTGTGGTAGCATGGTGATAGATGGATATGGGTCCCCTGCGTTATGGTCTTCCATTCCTATGCCATTTACATTTGTCAGATAATAATAGTGGTAGATGGATGTGGGTCCCATTCGTTATGGCTTCAGATAAAAAATCTAATCTTTTCATATTACATCTTACAATAACCTTTGGATCGAATTACCTCATATAAATCTCATCCGTATATTTGTTATCTCTTAAACCATCATATCCTCTATAAATGAACAACCACATTATTTTCATAACACACCACCTCCCAACTCTTGTATTCTCAATATTTCTTCTTCTACCACCGCACTAGAATGGCCAACAATGGATATGATAGCTCTTCTAGTGATGAGACAGGTGTCAACATAATGTTTTTGGAAATGTTTGAAAGCTACCAAAGGAAAAAAGCAACGAAGAAGAAGGAGAAGACCTCGATGGTTGTCCATAGGGGTACATCGTCACGACGATGTACTATACCAAGAGATCGAGTAAGTGCCCATGAAAACCTTTTTCAAAATTACTTCTCTAACCATCCGTTGTATCATCCGTCAGATTTTTGTAATAGATTTCGCATGAGGCGTGAGTTGTTTAATTGAATAATTGGATCTTCACTAATGATTATCCAAGCTCGGCATAGAGCAACATCTTCATCAATGGAGTAATTTGCACCTTTTTGCTTCGAATTTTCGGCCATTGGTGGAAAAGAGATTAACAAAAAATTACAAAAAATTAAATAATCTAGTAAGTGAAAAAATTTGACAAATTGATCAAGAGTGATAAAGATGTTGTGGTGTGTAAAAATTATGAGAGATATGGTGGATATTTATAGGCATACCAAACTTCAACAATCTCCACCTTGGTAAGAAATCCACATCAGAGACCTTGATTAGCTTCCATTGCTCCACCGTTATTAAGTTTTCAGACTTGTTTAATATGCACCAAATTCAAGCAATGCTTGCACTTTGATACACCCACCAACAGTGGCGGATCTAGGATTGTTACTCTATGGCGTCATAGTGTTAAAGTTCCGATTTCCTTTTTAAGATGAAACAATGCAAAAAATATTTCTAAAAACATACCAAACTTATTCCAATTAACAAAAACATCATTCAATAAATCAAGCTCATATATGTATTATGTAAACCATAAATTTCATCAAAATAATAACACCAACCCAAATAATAAATAAACTCACCCAAAAATAACTCAAATAATAAAATACCTTGAATATTAGAAAAAAACCAAATCTTTTCAATTCAAAGACCACTATGGTAAGTGATATCTTTATGCTATTGATGTATACTTTTAGTATTTATAGGTCTACCCAACAGAATTTAAAAAATATTTAAAAAACCCTAACAAATATCTTCCTTTAAAAAAAAAATTTGTGTCAGCTTCTTTCTTCTCCCTCTCAGTCTTCTTCTTCTTCTTTCTCTCCCCCTCTCTCTCATTTCTTCTCCCTCTCAACCACTGTCTTCTTCTTCCTCTCTCTCTCTCTCTCTCTCTCTCTCTCTCTCTCTCTCTCTTCTTCCTCCCTATTTCTTCTCCCTAGCAACTTGCATCTTCTTTTCCATGGGGTCATCTCCCATGGCTACCAAGAGAAACCAAGGACCTCCAAGCCATTTCCATGGCTGCCATGGGGTCGTCTAACCCCATTGACCCCATGGTGGATTCGCCCCTGCTCACCACCTTAGTTAACATATCAGCATGATTATCTATCGTAGTAATTTTCTTGATACAAATGTCATCTTTAGCTATCACTTCTCAAACAAAGTGATATCTCCCATCTATATGTTTGGTCCTCGCATGATGTACCTGATACTTTGCCAAGTAAATGGCACTCTGACTATTACAATACATATCCAGCTTGTGTTAATTAACACCCAAATCTTATAACAACCCTAATGTCTAGATTGCTTCCCTAATGGCTTTAGCCATTGCCAGAAACCAAGGACCTCCAAGCCATTTCCATGGCTGCCATGGGGTCGTCTAACCCCATTGACCCCATGGTGGATTCGCCCCTGCTCACCACCTTAGTTAACATATCAGCATGATTATCTATCGTAGTAATTTTCTTGATACAAATGTCATCTTTAGCTATCACTTCTCAAACAAAGTGATATCTCCCATCTATATGTTTGGTCCTCGCATGATGTACCTGATACTTTGCCAAGTAAATGGCACTCTGACTATTACAATACACATCCAGCTTGTGTTAATTAACACCCAAATCTTATAACAACCCTAATGTCTAGATTGCTTCCCTAATGGCTTTAGCCATTGCCATATATTCAGCCTCTGTGGTTGATAATGCAACAATTGGTTGTAATATTGATCTCCAACATATAGGACCTTTTGCCATAGTAAACACACACCCTGTCGTGAACCATCTTTTGTCTAAATCACTAGCAAAATCAGAGTCCACATGTCCAATTAAGAACTTTTCTACTCCTTTACAATTCTTCTCAAAACAAATTCCTGTCTCCCTTGTTCCATGAAAGATATCTTAGTATCCACTTAGTAGCCTCCCAATGCACCTTTCCAGGATTGTGCATAAATCTACTAACAATTCCAACTATGTGAGCAATATCGGGGCGAGTGCATACCATAGCGTACATCAACCCCCCCACCAAACTAGAATAAGGAACATCTTTCATCTTGCCTTTTTCTTCCTCGGTTTTAGGGCATAGTTGAGTACTCAATTTAAAATGGGGAGCTAGTGGTGTACAATGGCGAAGCCAGGATTTCATGTGTCTGGGGGCCTCTGACAAAATATAAATAATAAAAACTTCGAACTCACAAGACATAAAAACATCAAAAATCATATTGTCTATTCATTACAATCATAATTGTCCTTAACGAGTTTTCATATTTTGAAATCATTGCATAACAACCTCGTCATTTATACTATTAAAAACGTCTTCCTCAATATATGCAACCAAGCAATCATTCATCCACAAATCCCCATTCGATTGCGTAACCGATTCTTCACAATATTCATAGCAGAAAATACTCGCTCTACACTTGCGGTCACAACATGTAGGATTAGTGCTAGTGTCAGAAGCAAGTACACTAAAGGGTAGATCTGAATTTTTTTTTTGTCTCAACCATCTTCTGCGCAAGATCAGTAATCCCTTTCAATTCTGTAAATTCATTGTTAGAGCTCACGTCCCAAATGTAATTCTCAAGTTGTTCTTCGAGTAATTTGAGGTCATGCTCAGAAAAATCACTTGGATAAAATTGGGCAAGTCACATCAACTTTGCTTTTATCAAAAGCAGAGAATGAATTACTTGGACTCAAGCATGCCATACAAAGAAGTAATTCAGTATTCTTCTTATTGAACCGATCATTTAACTCTCGGAGCTGAATATAAATGACATCAACGAATAAATCAACACGATAATGATGTAAGTTTGTGATGGGCTGAGCTTTACGTTTTGGTCTCCCTCCACTGGAAAAAATATCATCCATTTTAGGAATTTCAATATGATACTTGCCACAAAAAAAAGAAACTTAATCAAGTAAAGAATCCCAACCATTATCTCTCATACTTTGCAATCTTCCTTTACATATTTTGACCAAGTCCATGGCATTCACAATATCTTGATCTTTCTTTTGTAATGCCTGAGACAAGTCGTTTGTGATTCCCAAAATTCTTTTCATCAAGTGTAGTCCAAAAATGAAGCTGAATGATTGCATAAAAGTCAATAGAACCTTTGCTTCAAATTTTTGTTCGTAACCTGATCCATATGTTCTTACAATTTTAAGCACATCTGTCACAAACGGGAACATTTTTTCCAAACTAATTAAACAATTATAATGAGAGCTCCATTGTGTATCACTAGACCGCTTAAGATTAGTTTCTTGATTCAAGCCTTGTCCACTTAAGAGCTCATTATTATTGAGTGCTTTAAAAATTGCATCAACATGCTTTTCTCTCAGCATATCACGGCGCTTAGCGGATGCACCCACAACATTCACCACATTAGAAACCATAGTAAATAAATCTGTAAGTTCTGAATGTTTCTTTGCCACAGCTATCAGAGCTAGCTGAAGCTGATGAGCAAAACAATGAACATAAAAAGTACAATCATTCTCATTCAGAATGAGTGTTTTAAGACCACTAAACTCACATCTCATATTACTTGCGCAATCATAACCTTGCCCTTACAATCTAGATATGCTTAATCCATGCCTCGAAAAGAAATCATCAATGGCTAACTTGAGTGAGGAAGATTTAGTATCTGTAACATGCACAATACCTACAAAACGCTCAATTACCTGACCTTTATCCACATAATGTAGCACAATGGCCATTTGCTCCTTTGAAGACATGTCACATGATTCATCAACAAGAATGGCAAATAATGAATCACCAATATCCCTGATGATTACATTGATAATTTTAGTTGAAATAGCATTTGAAATGTCCTTCTGGATATCAGGTGATGTCAACTTCATATTTTCATAAGCAATTTTTAGCGTGACAGCTTTTATATTATCATTGAAATGACATAGCCATCGTAAAAATGCAAGAAAATTCCCTTGATTGGTTGAATTTTCTGATTCATCATGCCCACGAAATGGAAGCCCTTGTTGTAAAAGTATCCTACTAACACCAACTGATGCACTTAAACGAGTTCCATAATCAATTCGATCTTGGTTTGAGTGTTTTGAGAGAATTGTTTCAATATGCTGCTTTCGGTTTAATAAGACCTCACAACTTCTCCAAGCTTTATTATGGGCACTATTCGGTCCTCTAACATGAATTTGTAGTCTATCTTTTTTCTTCCAATTCAAAAATCCAACACCAACAAAAGATTCACCACCAGATTGCTCTCCAATATCAGGTTTAAAGAGATAACAACATAGACAAAAGGCAGCATATTTTTTTATGCTGTACTCTAACCAAGTAGAAAACTCACTAAACCAACCAGGATTAAATTGTCTTTGTTTTGCTCCAAATTTTTTGTAACGAAAATTATGCCCTCGAGGTTGACAAGGACCTTTTTGGAGATAAGCTCTTCGAACTTGGTCTTGAACATTTGGATGGTAACTCAATATTTGATGATGTAATCCGGGATCAGCTGGCAGATTTTCCAAGTTAACTTCCATAGTTTGGTTTGAACTACTTTCATTTTTCTTTTGACTCTTTGCAGGTAACGACTCCGCTAACTCAGACTTTGATTTTCTTTTGAAAAATCTTTCCATAATTGAAACACATATATGAACTAAATTTAAATTGAAACAATTATGAACATCTTCTCAAACTTATAAACCGAAACAAATTGAGCATTCAAGTCAAAGCAATATATTATTTAAACCAATAGAGAATCATATATATAGAAATTTATAAAATAAAATTTAAATTTCACCGACACAAGTTCACAATTGCATTAAAGGGATAAACAATTACATACTACGCAAGAAAAATTACAAGGGATAGACAAATACATACTTGGAGTTGAATAACGATTTACCAAATATCTCCAAAGCCTTTTCCCTTTGGTAATCTACACATAAATTGAAAGACCCATTAAAATCAATAGAAATAAAAAAAAAACTTGATAATATAATTAGAATTTGAGAAGAAAAAAAACTCACAAGCAACTGGCTGGTCTGGTTGTGTTTCTGACCCAAGGAAAGAGAAAAAGGCCTAGGTTTATTGATTTATACAAGAAGGCAATATATAATAATAATAATAATAATAATAATTCTAATCCTTTTGGAAATGGGTAGTGTATGATTTTAGGATATTTAGCTGGTCAATAGGGCCCACGTTGAAATCTACTTTTGGCTAAAATCTACTTTGGCTACTGTTGGACCTCGCCACTTCATATGGTCAAAGACTTGGGCTTTCTTGTGGATTTCTTGTTTGGCCCATATGTCAACTCCTGCATACTAGTACTATTTTTTTTTTAAATAAAATTTCAGTGGGGGCCAGTGACTGCATTGGTCCCCATGTGCCTCCGCCTCTAGTGGTGTACTTACAGGTTTGGTTTCCTCATTAATTCCAAATTTGTGCAGCAACTTTTCAAGGTACTGTTTCTGCGATAAATATACCAACGCTCTTCCTATTTCTCGTGATCTCCATCCCCAAAATCTTCCTTGACTCACCGAGATCTTTCATTTCAAAATCTTTATGCATCTGAGCTTTCAGTTTGTTAATCTAAGTGATATCACTAGAAGCTATGAACATATCGTCTACATAAATCAGTAAGTAGATATATGCGCCTCCTCTCAGTTTCTCGTGGTACACACAATGATCATAATGACTCCTTGTATAGCCTTAATATTTCATAAACTTATCGAATCTCAAGTACCACTGCCTAGATGATTGTTTCAAACCATATAGCAACTTGTTGAGCTTGCAGACTAAACTCTTTTCCTTTTTCTTCATACCCTTAAGGTTGTCTTATGTAAATTTCTTAAGACAAATTTCCATGTAGGAACGCAGTTTTTACATCTAGTTGTACTAACTCAAGATCAAACTGTGCTACTAAAACAAGCAAAATTCGAATGGAGGAGTGTTTCACCACAGGGGAAAATATTTCATTATAATCGATTCCTTCTTTCTGAGTGTATCCCTTAGTCACTAGCCTGGCTTTAAACAGCACCACACTCGCATCATTGACTCCCTCCTTCTTTGCATATACCCATTTGCATTCAATAACTTTTCTTCCCTTAGAGCACTTCTACTCCTATGTCACTATTCACATAAATAGTAGCAGCCCTTATAATTTATTTTCTATTCTTTATACTTAATCAATTAATTTTGATAAAATTTTCGGATAAGATTTTCAGTTGCCACGTGTTATTATTTATTATAAAATTCTCATATAAAATTTCGGATAAAATTTTTTAATAAGATTTTTGGATTAAATTTTAGGATTAAATTTTCAAATAATATTTTTGGTTGCCGCATTTCATATGTATTATAAAATTGACCTATCAAATTTCAGATAAAATATTCGGATAAGATTTTCGGTTGCCATGTGTCCATATTTATTATAAAATTCACATCTCACTCATCATACAATTGAAATACCTACTCACTTATCATACAATTGAAATACCTACTCACTTATCATACAATTGAAATACTCTTGGTCCTCATAGTCCGACATAATCGAGTACAATGACGATTCAATCATTGGCGAAGGTGGTTCCACCGGATCACGAAGTGGGGGAGTATTTTCCTTCGAAGGACGTAATAGTGCCATTATTTCCGACACGGAACGCACCACTGGAACTAATTGCGGGCATTGTTCATTTGAGGAGCCATGTGTAATGGTTTTCCTCTTTTTTGTTTTGCCTTGAATAATCTATTAAAAAAATGAAATTGGAAATGCAAGAAGATATATATATATAAGACATTAAATTGAATAAAACAGCAATTAAATTATTATTTTTAACCTTGTCCCCAAGATTTTGACCACTTCGAACGTTTGTCCACGACCTTTCGGCTTCGATGGAAGAGGCCATTTGTATTTTAACACAAATGGAATTTTGTAGTAGAAATTTTGGTGTGGAAAGTGAATAATATTGGTAAGTATTTATAGACAAAATTTCCAGAAATTTTTGATATTTTTTCAATTTTTTTAAGCCAAAAAATGGGCAGCCATTGGATTGAAGGACATTTTTGGATTGTAGCCTCCAGGAGAAGCCATGTGGCTTGTAACTGTTGTTTTTTCTGGCAGTGTTGATGTCATGTTGACGTTAGCTGCCCTAAAACAAGGAGACGGGCTAGATCTCCCCGTCGGCTTGCCAGGGCTCGTGGGTCCCAAGCCTTGCCTGGGCTGGGTCTTGTGCATTGGAGCTGGCTTCCAGGCCTAGGGCCCCCTCCTGCCTAGGCTAGCCCATGGTGGTGGACTTGCTCTTATACAACTCTACTAATTCCCAGGTCTTGTTCCTCTTGATACCACTTGTTATACTTTAAGCAAGAACAAGAACTAAAACAATGAACAAAGAAAAGGAACACAAACAATTTAAGGGTTCCTCCAATATATGAGTACCTGCAATGAAACCTTTTATTAAACCCAATGAAAGAGAACTAACAAACTCTCAATAGCTCTCAAAATCATAAACAGATGCCTCACTCTCTAATATTAGACTGCTCATAAGATCATCTATTTATACTAGATTGATGACAACCAAATCCTACTATACATAGGAAACCAAAAACTAAACTAAGTCAGAATCATAGACCAACTTGAAAGCTTGCGTCCAAACCTCCCAAACATATTACAACTTGGATTCCTAACTTAGCTAAGAATACATAATCGATTTCATACCAAACTTTAGCAAGTTGTTTAGAGAATGGTAAGGAAGCTAAAAAAATCAGGGGTCGCCTTGTAATGCCGCACACCATGCTTGTCTAAGTCATTAGTCAAGCCCATAGCCGCTTGATTGTGTGTGGGAGTATTTTGGTAGTTAGCAAAAAATTTTATTTTCTTGTATTTGGTCATTATAAGTAACTCTTCAAGCATTTTGATTGTTTCCTTTTCTTCCGTAACTTATGAAAATGCTCGTCATGCTACTTACAAGAGGTGACTAGTCGGTGGAATGGTGAGCTAGTTCACTTGTATAGGTAAGCATGCCTGCCATCAATAAATAGAAGCATTATACAAGCACTCATTGCCTTGTGTGTTGCACTTGCTATTGTGCTTGTATAATATTTAATATCGGGTGTTTGTTGCCTACCCAGTACTAGCAAGTGCCGCAAAGTGGTTTCTTTAATTCCGACCTTCATGTAAGGGGTTGTATGAAGGGGTTGTAGCTTAAGTAGTCTTAAGAGTATTTAAGGCCATCTCTAGTCATGGGCTATATGCCAAATATAGCCCTAAAATAATGCAAAACCCATCTCCAGTTATGGGCTAAACAAAATTTTGGCCAAATTTGGAGGGCCACATTTGGCTCTTTAACCCTCCAACCAGGCCACATGTAGCCCAGTTTTGGCCTAGGCCAAATTTTTTGTGTGCCCCATGCATGTGCTTTTCAACAGTCAACATTAAAACATTCTGACGTAATCACAGCTGGATATATATTTTAAAGCCTTTTTAAATGTTTCAAATCGTGTTGTTTAAGAAAAATGTATAAAAAATTATTGGTCATGACCGTTGGAGGTTAGACCATTGAAACCTATCCTTTTTATTTATTTAAAATGAGGCCACCTTTTTAAATGTTTTCAATTCATGTTATGTAAGAAAAAAATATAAAAAAATATTGGCTATGACAGTTGGAGGTCAGACCATTGAAACCCATCCTTTTTTTT